CCGCTGACCTCCAACATCTCCGAGTTCATCAGCCGCTACAAGTCGGCCGGGTTCATCGACCTCCTGCACGACAAGTGGTACAAGATGGTGCCCTGCGGCAAACGCGTCTTCGCCGTCACGGAGGTGGGGGCGGCCAGACCCTCGCCTCGGGGGGGGCTCTGGAGGTGGGGGACTGATTCCCAACTCCCCCCCCAGCCCAGCCCAGCTGACACCCCCCTCCCTCTCCCCGCAGACCCTGCAGATGGGCATCTACCACTTCTCGGGGCTGTTCGTGCTGCTGTGCATCGGGCTGAGCGGGTCCCTGCTCACCTCCCTGGGGGAGCACGTCTTCTACCGCCTGGTCCTGCCCCGCATCAAGCGCAAGAAGAAATTCAACTACTGGCTGCACACGAGCCAGGTGGGGGGGGGCCTGTGGGAAGGGTCTCACCCAGCCCCTCAAAGACCCCATTACCCCCCCCATCCTTCTCACCCTCCCCGTGCGCCCCACAGAAAATCCACCGGGCTCTGAACACGGGCACGGAGGAGCGGAGCAGCCGGCAGCCAGGCTTGGAGCAGAGGTAGGGCTGGGGCTGGGTGCCTGCCCCCCCTTTCCTCCTCCTCCCTGTGGGCACCATGAGCCCCAGGGCCGTGGAAGGACCCCCCCCAAGTCCCCAGCTCAGCCCTTCTCCCCCTCCCCACACAGGTGTGACCCCCAGCCCGGGCAGGAGCCGGCAGCGGGGCAGCCCTGGGGTGCCCTGAAGAAGGGGGCACGGCGGGTGCGCTTCCAGCTGGACAAAGCTCCCCCCGAGGAGGAGGGGGGGTCCCCACGACACCCCGGGAACGGGCGGGTGCCGCAGCCCCTGGACAGGGCGTCCAGTGAGAAGGAGCTGCGGGAGCTGGAGGGGAAGATCCAGGAGATGCGGGACCAGCTGCGGGTGGCCCTGGTGAGGAAGAGCGAGCTGGTGGCCGTGCTGGGCACCGCGAAGAGCGTCCGGGCCACCAAGGAGACCCAGGAAGAGAGGTGACACGGGACGGGGGGCTCAGCCCGGTCCCCGGGCAGGGAGGAGGTGGGAGCCCCCAAAACATCCCTGGGCAGGAGAGAGCAGCACCCACTCCCTTGGTCAGAGGGGGAGGAAAGAGACAAGGGATGGAAGGAAAAAGGCCTTAGGGGTGGCAGGATGGAGTGGGGGTCCCTTCCCCGGCTCCGGGGCCTTCATCTCTCCCTCATCTCCCTCCCAACCCGCCGATGCTGGGGGTTTAAACGCTGACCGCAGCCGGGGGGGTGTTTTGGGGAAGGTGGGATGAGGCTGCACAGACCCAGGCCCCCCCAGCAGTTCTGCAGGCAGAGCCTCCAGCAGCGCTGCGTTTTTAAACCCTGTAAATAAAGACGATGGAAACAAAATAAAGTCTGCTTTTTCTCTTCCAGCTGCATCTTAAATGCAGCAAGGCTGGGGGCGAGGGTAACCCCTCCCCTTCCTCCTCCACAGGCCCATGCCAGCCCCCCCGCAGGCCAGTGGAGATGAGGAGGAGGAGGAGGAAGGTGAGTAGCCCCGTCCCATGGCGGAGGATGGGCCAGGACCCCAGGATCCCACAGCAGGGCCACCAGGCTGATCTCCAGGGCCACCTCCAACCGGGAAGGGAGCCTTCCCCGGGCACACGGTGAGATGGACGTGGCTGTCACCATCCCCTGTCCCAGCCCAGCGGGGCCAGTGGAGGAAACTCCATCCCCCAGAGCCCAACGGGGGTGACTCTGGGGCGAGAGCACAGGAAAGGACCCTCCCTCCCCACGGCCCTTCCACGCGCACATGAACATGGGGGAGCAGAGTCGTGACAGGGACTGTGAAGGGGATGGGGGCTCAGCCCCCGGTGCTGCCCCCACCCCTCTGAGCCGTATGGGGTGGACGGAGCTCGACGTGCTGCCCCCGTGCCCCCTGACCCTCAACTTCCAGCAGGAACCAGCACAAGGGCTGGTGGGACACGGGGGCAGCGCCACCGCCGCTGTTAGATATAATATTTATTATTATATACAAACACATTTTGTACATTAATTAAATAGAATGAACTCTACTCTCTTCATTCAGCAAATCCTCTTAAAAGCCTACGGTAAATCCCTCGCTCTGGCACATCCACCGGAGGCAGGAGCCAGTGGCCATCGAGGCCCCTTCCCAGGACGGGTGGCTACAGGAGGAGCCGAGGTGCTGGTCACAGCTCCCCCGAGCAACACCCAGGGCTCCTTCGGACAACAAGAAAAGAAAAAAGAGGGGGGCACCTGGGTGGGAAATGCAGAGAAAGCGAAGCCAGGGCCCCAAGCCCCCAGGGTGCCAATAGGACCCCCTTTCCTGGTGGAAGACACCAAGATGCACATGGGACCCTCCAGCTGGGGGAGACTGGGCTGAACTGGGGACACTTCCACAGGGACCTGCTCCCCCCAGAGAGCAGAGCATCCCCAAGGTCACCTCCCAGCGCTGCCCTTCCACATCCTGAGCTCCCCTCAGCCCTGCAGACACCACACACTCCTGCCTCGCTCCGCTCCACCTACAAACCCAAACCCTGCTCCCAGCCACGTCCTCGTGGGGTCCAGTGCATCCCTGGCAGCAGCCGGTCCCTGTCCCAGCCCCCCAACTCAGCCCCATGCCACCCGTGGCGCAGAAGGGTCGGGCACAGCCAGCTTCACCCCCGCTGCCAGGGGAGGGAGGGGGAAAAACAGCTGAAATGTCTTGGCTTTAGTGTTTTGGTTCTTTGCTAAACCACCTCATGCAACAGTTCAGCCAGCGAAAAGCCGATCTCTCCTCTGGGATGGGGCTGATCTTAAATGCAAACGTGTCCCCTTTGAGGGACAAGGCACTGAAAAGCAAACTACGTCACCCCCGGCAGCAGGCGCCGAAAGCAGAGCTGAGCAGGGACAGAGCCGCGTCCTCCTCATCCAAATGCCGCCGCAGACACCGACACCACGGCTCAGTCCCTGCAGACACCGACACCCTGTGCCAGCAGCTCCCACTCCACGCTGCCCACGTACATCTAAGAGAGGCCATGTTCCCCAAGCCCTGGCAGAGGTCACCAGCCGCAGAAGCGACAGCACCACGCAGGAGCCCACCCCAGCCCCACACACCCCTCCTGGGATGGAAGCTCCAACAGGGACATGGCACCTTCTACCCCCAAACCCACGACGGATGGAAGCTCAAGGACAGAAAAAATTGGGCTGAACTGCAGCTTCTGCTTTGGTTATTGCCCAGCTTTGCCCTGGCCTGAGCAGATCTAGTGTTTGGGGAAGGTCTTGAGCTTCTGGCACATCCACCGGAGGCAGGAGCCAGTGGCCATCGAGGCCCCTTCCCAGGACGGGTGGCTACAGGAGGAGCCGAGGTGCTGGTCACAGCTCCCCCGAGCAACACCCAGGGCTCCTTCGGACAACAAGAAAAGAAAAAAGAGGGGGGCACCTGGGTGGGAAATGCAGAGAAAGCGAAGCCAGGGCCCCAAGCCCCCAGGGTGCCAATAGGACCCCCTTTCCTGGTGGAAGACACCAAGATGCACATGGGACCCTCCAGCTGGGGGAGACTGGGCTGAACTGGGGACACTTCCACAGGGACCTGCTCCCCCCAGAGAGCAGAGCATCCCCAAGGTCACCTCCCAGCGCTGCCCTTCCACATCCTGAGCTCCCCTCAGCCCTGCAGACACCACACACTCCTGCCTCGCTCCGCTCCACCTACAAACCCAAACCCTGCTCCCAGCCACGTCCTCGTGGGGTCCAGTGCATCCCTGGCAGCAGCCGGTCCCTGTCCCAGCCCCCCAACTCAGCCCCATGCCACCCGTGGCGCAGAAGGGTCGGGCACAGCCAGCTTCACCCCCGCTGCCAGGGGAGGGAGGGGGAAAAACAGCTGAAATGTCTTGGCTTTAGTGTTTTGGTTCTTTGCTAAACCACCTCATGCAACAGTTCAGCCAGCGAAAAGCCGATCTCTCCTCTGGGATGGGGCTGATCTTAAATGCAAACGTGTCCCCTTTGAGGGACAAGGCACTGAAAAGCAAACTACGTCACCCCCGGCAGCAGGCGCCGAAAGCAGAGCTGAGCAGGGACAGAGCCGCGTCCTCCTCATCCAAACGCCGCCGCAGACACCGACACCACGGCTCAGTCCCTGCAGACACCGACACCCTGTGCCAGCAGCTCCCACTCCACGCTGCCCACGTACATCTAAGAGAGGCCATGTTCCCCAAGCCCTGGCAGAGGTCACCAGCCGCAGAAGCGACAGCACCACGCAGGAGCCCACCCCAGCCCCACACACCCCTCCTGGGATGGAAGCTCCAACAGGGACATGGCACCTTCTACCCCCAAACCCACGACGGATGGAAGCTCAAGGACAGAAAAAATTGGGCTGAACTGCAGCTTCTGCTTTGGTTATTGCCCAGCTTTGCCCTGGCCTGAGCAGATCTAGTGTTTGGGGAAGGTCTTGAGCTCCTCTTCCCCTTAAGGAGAAGGGAAGTTCACCAGGTCTCGCCCCTGGGGCTCTCCCCAGGGTGTCTGAAAACACTCTCCCTGTTCACACGCAGCCGTGGCTCTACCCAGAGCTGTCACACACACGCGTGGCTCTGTCACAAAACCAGCTTACGCTTGTGAACAGCACCTGGGCTGAAAATGGGAAGGCAGGGGGCAAAGCCAGGGGCAGGGAAAAGCCGTGGCAGGGAGCCAGCCGTGGGGCCAGAGGGGGCAGCAGGAGCGAAGGGCTCGTCCCTCCGTCCCCGCAGCCCCGGGCACAGCGGCCGCTCACACACACACGGGCTTTTCCCAGGGGAGCTGAGTGCAGCCCCTTCTCTCTGTCCCAGCGCTCTGCCTCCACTAAGAGGAATTCATGGGTTAAGGATGATGGTGAAGTGAGAAATCGTAACAAACACAATCCAAACGCCCCCCTGGCAGTCCAGAGTTACAGTAACAGGACTCAAGACAGGCTCCTGGAGTCTGGCTCCGAGCAGGGTTTGGAGCTCGGCCTATTATCCGCTGGTGCTGGGCAGGGGCTGCTTTGTCCCCGGTCCCCCAGAGCACAACCCAAGCCTCTGTCCTGATCAGTGTCCCCCGCCGCAGCCGGAGGGGTCTCTGCCGCGCTGCTGTTTGCAACGCAGTCCTTGCTGCCGGGCCTCGCTCGGCTCTCCGAGCCCTCCACGGCCTCAGTCTGCCCAGGACGGGAAGGGCTGGGGACGGGGGTCCCCTCCTCCTGCAGCGGGACAAGGGGGGCAGCTGGTGCCACCTCTGCGGCAGGGACATCTGCTGCAGCCACCACAGACGTTGAGGTGACTTCAATGGTGATGGAGCCCATGGCCGTCTCCGGGTGGTCGCTGCTGACCCTGATGCGGGCGACCAAACTGGAGGCGGCGGCAGCATCCTGAGGGCTCCCGTTGGCCATGGCTTCGTGCACCATGTTGGGCTCCAGCAGGGTAGTGCTCAGGTCGGAGAGGAACGAGGCTTCCGTGACGATGGCGGCCGTCTCGGCCACCCAGTTGAGGTCGCTGCCCACAGAAGCTGCCGTGGCAGCGGCGATGACGCTGGAGGCCTCGCCGGGGGTCAGGGCGGCCGGGCCACTGCTCTCCCCCGAGGGCCCGGCCGGCAAGTGGGGCCGGCGGCTCCCCACGTCCACGGGGGCAGCCGTAGTGTTGTTGTTGAGGTTGTCTTGGAGCGTGGTCTGCGTCCCCTGCCCCACCTGCTGGTTCTGCAGCAGCATCTCCTGGATCCGGATCTGCTGGAGAATGGCCGGCAGCTCGTAGTGATGGAAGAAGTAAATCATGGAGTGCTGGAGAAGGAAAGGGAAAGGAGTCACTCGCTGGGGCTGGGCCGAGCCCAGGCATAGCTTAGGAAACCAAGCTCTCCTCTCCCTGTGAGGGGAACTGGGCTGCTCTGACAGCTCAGAGTTATCTGAAACTTTGGACAGATTTCCCTCTTCCACTACAACCCCTGCAAGCTGCTGTCAGAGCTGATACAGCTCCTCTCCAGGCAGGCAATGGAGTACAACCCTCTGCCCTTCCAAGGGCTGAGAAGAAGGATAAAGGCATTTTTCCAACCCACCCAAAATGCAATTACTTCCTACACTTTGCTCCTACCGGCTGTGCTGCTAAAATCAGCCACGTAAGAGTTCAAACCGTGGGTAGGGAGACCCCTCTGAGGCACGTGGGGTGACCAGGACAGAGTTCCTGGGATGGCACCTGCCTCCTGGTCAGCAACACAAGTGGCAGCGACTCACCTGGATGAAGAGCCAAGAGGTGACGAGAGCCAGGCTGCTGTACTGCCCGTTGAACCGATAGTGGTAGGCATAGAAGGCAAAGTGGTACAGATAGAAGAACCTGGACAGAAAGGCAGTAAGCATGAGGATTCAGCAATGGACAGGACAAACATGAGCTTCTCCCTACTCCTGACTCTGCTCTGGGCTGGGGCACTCTGCAGAGGGTGGTGCAGACTCCCATTAACAGGTAATTAGAACCTCCTTGCTGTCAACAGCTCTTCAACAGAGAAACACAAAGGGCAGGTGATTCTTGACATCCAGGCACAACCCCAGAGTGGAAACAATTCCACTTTGGACCCTGTGACACCCAGGGCAGCTCCCAAGGAGACCCACAGAAGCTCTCGAGTGGAAGCTCTCCTGCCTGGGAGGGCTGGGGAAGACCCAAAGCCGCCTCCCACCAGAGGACAGGACTCACTGCAAGGATGTGCAATGAGGTGCCAGCTCTTACCTGAGCCAATGCCTCTTGCTCGTGTTGGTGTGGCAGCAGATGGCATCGTACTGGTCGGCCAGCCACACGATGAGGATGATGTAAAAGGCAGTGGTGGTGTCGTTGAAGAACTCGGACATAATGGCCTCCATCCCTAGGGGACAGAGGGTGTCTGAGATGAGGACACTGCAGGGCACAGACCCCCGTGCGGCAACGGCCTTCCCAAAGCAGCACGTGAAGGAACCCGCTGTCACATCCACAACTGGGGCCTCATGAACATACAGCAAAGACCCCAGCACAAAACCCAAGCTGTTTCAAGAGATTAAGGCCAAACGTGTCACTGCTGTCCCTGCACAGGCCAGAGCACCAGCCGGCTCCACACTGCACAGATTCGGGGGGTTTTGTTGTTAGTTGTGTTTTAATTGTGCTAATGCAACGTGGTCACAAGAAGTGTGAATCTGAAATGAACTACAGCGACAGACAAAGCTTCAGTCAGTGTGATTTCCAAATGAACTGCTTTTCCAGGGGACCCGGAAGGACAATGCAGGTCTCTGGGCCATCAAATTCCAGAGCCTTCCACCTTGTGACGAGCGGACACACTAATCACCTGCCGGGGCAGGTCAGAACAGGGAACTGCACTTCCTACTGTCCAGCAGAGTCCTTACCTACTAGAGCCAGGATCACAGTGAGGAGGGGAGCCGCAGGGAACGCGATCGTCATGTTCATCTCCAGCATCTGCAGCAGGTCGACTGCGAGAAGGAAAACACGCTGTAACACGAGGGGGACATGGGGCCACGAAACCCTCCACCCCTTTGAATCACCCCCTGTTCAGAGCACTGCAGCCTGCAGTGCAGCCCACTGTCCCCGATACACGTCATGAGACAGAACAGCTCTGGAGCACAGGGACACAAGGGGATACACTCCCTGTGCAGCTACTTGCAGGACCCCTCTAAACAACGACAGTCACAAGTACATACACGATACACTGTGCTGGAGCAGGCACAGAGTCGAGCACACCCTAAATCCCATAGAAAAGTCCTTACCAATGAAGACAAAGATCTGATGGTGCGAGTAGCGCAACAGCATCGAAACGGACAGGGTCTGAAACAGAAGAGAAGCCGGGGTTAGAGCAGCACAGGCCCGGGGAGCCCCGTTCAAAATCACACCGGGCAGAGGCCGGGACAGGCAAGCTGGGACTCGCGATGCCGCACGGCGCTGCCACAGATCCCACCTTCGTTAGTTTGAGCCCCGCAGACCGACTTCCCAAAGAGTAATTAGGACTTCACAAACAGCAATTAATCTTTGTATTACTGCAGTGAAATAGGCAGTAAGTAATTTGTTTGTAAAGAGACCGATTCTGAATATTTGAGCAGGGGCCAAACCAAGCAGCAGAGCTGGAACTAGGGCTTCTCCCATCCCACATCTGTGCTGCTGGGAGGAGCACAGAACCCTCCCGACACCAGCCCTGTGGCTCGCTGCCTCCCCGCTCACTGGCCACAGCGTTACTGCACGAGGAGCTGCAGCAGGGGACGGACAGACACAGAGGGAGACAGTCACCCAAGACTATGAACATGGGCTTAGCTATCACTTGGGATCTTGTCTGATACTTATCTGTAATCACCTCGTCTCACACGTAATCACAGGAGACTTGGTTCTACCCTGCTCACTCCTGGTAATTAGTTAGACCTGTTCTTAAAAGACTCAGAGGACAAACTTCTGCACCCTGTGCCCTGGCAGCCAGTGTTTAACTTAGAGACTCCCAAACCCGAATCGCCCTTTGGACAACAAAGCCATTAAATCATCCCATTTCAGCTCCTCTCTTTGTTCCTTGTTAGGACTTTAGGAACCCACACGAAAAACAAAACAAACAGAGCAGAACCTCAAACTCCATCAGCTTAGCTCTAAAAGCAGATGAGAGCTCAGGCCTGTGCTGTTAGAGCAAACAGATGCTGAGCAGCACGGGCTCAGAGTCCAGGCAATGCCCAGCTCCTGCCAACTTACAAATATGACCATGATGACAAAGGCTGCCAGATAGGAGGTCCTGGCCATCCACATGCTGACAAAGCGATAGTGCTCCCCAGACACCACATTGCGGAGGAAACCTGGAGGAAAAGAAACCAAACACACAAGCTCAGTGTGATTAACCCACAAACTAAGAACAAACTTCCACTGCCTTCTAAAGGACCAGGATTTAAAGCAGGTCTATGGCAGCAGCTCCTGACAGCCTCACTCCTATTGCTATGCAGTGCAACAAGGCAGTAGGCAATCACGTCTGCAGACATCTCTCCCCCCCTGCTCGTTTCATTTTGTCCTTGACAATAACATCTCTATGTAACACAGGGAACTGTTCCCCGCATAGAGATTAATCAATAGTCAGAAGATGACAGTCATGCATCCACAGAAAAGCATCAACTGCTCTGCACAGCTGCCGAAAGCCACTCCTCCAAGCCTTACCTTTGTTTTCTTCATTTTCAGCTAAAGCTTTGACACTTGACATCAGGATGTCATCATATCCCAGGAACTCATCCAGCAACAGGCGGCTGAACCTGTCCCCAAAGCACTGATCCCTGGTAGGATCTAGAGAGAAGACAAAAACCCACTCAGACTGCTCACACCTGGAGCTGCAGAGGTGGGGGCAAGCGCAGAGCCCTCTCCTCCCCCAAGGGACACAAGAGCCAGCAGACCTGTGTCTGCCCTCAGACCTTGGGCAATAGAACTAAACTGGGCAGGACTGGGAGGAAGAATGTCACACCCGGACAGATCTAGCCATGCTGTCAAAATGCTAACGTCAATCAGGCCTTAGGAATGACATCAGGGCTGTCACACTCTCTGTTGGCACCCACATAAAGGGAGTTTGCCTTGGACTATCTCCCCGGGCTCACCCCAGCTAATGGCCCAGACAAACAAGTTCTGGTAGGATTTAGAAGGCCCGGTCAAGACCTTTTAGCCATCAGCTGGGCTCAGTGACACTGCTGGGACCTGCCATCCCCATCCACCCTCCTGTGGCAAGGACACGGCAACACCTCCCACGGCTCCGGGCACAAACACTCCAGCTCATGAGGCTGGTACAGTGTTCTACTGCACAACACTCACCAGCCCGTAAAAATAACTCAAATCTAAGCAAAACAGGCAGCATGAACACAAATAATTTTTCAGCAAATTACTGGGATACTTATGAAGGAATTTGTTCAGCTGAATTGGAAAACCCAGGTCAGTAAATAGACATTTAACAGCCCATTACCTGTATGGGATAACTGCTTAATACTCCAGCCCAGCTGTACTTCAGTTTGCTTAGAGGAATAAGTAATGAAATCTCCTCTGATGGCTGCACTAACAGCTCGTTACAGACCAATTAAGTTCACAGGCATGAGAAGGTTTGAAACTATATTCCTGACTCAGGCAGGTTTCAACAGAGCAAATGCCAGGAGAAGAGAACAGTGTTCCAGGAAGATGCCCTGCTGGTGCTCACAAGGGCACAGCCGAGTCCTTCTTGGTATCGTCCCTGACACACACACAGCTCTTGTCCCCACTGGGCTCTAACCCTGTGCCACGGCTGCTCCACGTGGAGCCCAGAGCTTCGGCACCAAGAGGCTCCTCCTTCCCCAGCGAGAGAACTGCTGGATGTAACATCAGGGCTCCCCAAAACAGGCTCCACCATTTCACACCGCTCCTCCTGGAGAGGAATGACCTACTAACGCAATAAGGCCTCGGCAGAGCCGCTCCCCTGCGTGGAAAATGAGCGCCATCACCTGTTATAAATAGTTTCCACCAGGCTGAGGAGGAAGCGGCGCGTAGGCCCCTGCGCAGAGCGCTCGCCCACGGCTGCGGCAGCGCAGGGCAGCCCCTCACTCACCCAAAGTCACCACCATGACGGGGATGCTGAGGCGCTGGCGGGTGCTCTGGGACAGGCGCAGGAAGCCGTACTCCAGCGAGTACTCCACGATGTACTCCTCCTGCGGCCACACTGCGGAGAGCGAGACCCCGCACCGGGGTGTGCAATCAGTCGCCAGGAACACACAGCACCTCTGGGTTCCCCCCTCCCTCTCTCCCTCCCACCACGTTCTGGGAAAGAGAATCAGTTGCAAACGCAGGCTCCAGGCTTCCTTCCCCCGATGTAAAACAAATCAATACAAATTCTTTGAAATCGCAGCCCGTTCCCTTGACATTAAACCTTAACATGAAACTTGGGGGAAAGCTTCGGGTTCCAAGCTGTGTTAAACATTGCCCAGGATCTGCCCACACCTTTGCCTGGGGAGTCCTAGACCACTTGTTCCTGCTCTGTCCAATTTCTGCTCTCTGTGTTTTCAGGAAACAGCAGGGAAATACACCTTACACCTGCTGAACACCGAGTAAACACTCCAGAGGGCAGGAGTGCTGCGCTTCCCAGGAGACAGAGCTCACTGCTGCAATTACAAACCCCAGAACTAAAGGCAGGAGCAATTACGAAGAATGTCACACCCGGACAGATCTAGCCATGCTGTCAAAATGCTAACGTCAATCAGGCCTTAGGAATGACATCAGGGCTGTCACACTCTCTGTTGGCACCCACATAAAGGGAGTTTGCCTTGGACTATCTCCCCGGGCTCACCCCAGCTAATGGCCCAGACAAACAAGTTCTGGTAGGATTTAGAAGGCCCGGTCAAGACCTTTTAGCCATCAGCTGGGCTCAGTGACACTGCTGGGACCTGCCATCCCCATCCACCCTCCTGTGGCAAGGACACGGCAACACCTCCCACGGCTCCGGGCACAAACACTCCAGCTCATGAGGCTGGTACAGTGTTCTACTGCACAACACTCACCAGCCCGTAAAAATAACTCAAATCTAAGCAAAACAGGCAGCATGAACACAAATAATTTTTCAGCAAATTACTGGGATACTTATGAAGGAATTTGTTCAGCTGAATTGGAAAACCCAGGTCAGTAAATAGACATTTAACAGCCCATTACCTGTATGGGATAACTGCTTAATACTCCAGCCCAGCTGTACTTCAGTTTGCTTAGAGGAATAAGTAATGAAATCTCCTCTGATGGCTGCACTAACAGCTCGTTACAGACCAATTAAGTTCACAGGCATGAGAAGGTTTGAAACTATATTCCTGACTCAGGCAGGTTTCAACAGAGCAAATGCCAGGAGAAGAGAACAGTGTTCCAGGAAGATGCCCTGCTGGTGCTCACAAGGGCACAGCCGAGTCCTTCTTGGTATCGTCCCTGACACACACACAGCTCTTGTCCCCACTGGGCTCTAACCCTGTGCCACGGCTGCTCCACGTGGAGCCCAGAGCTTCGGCACCAAGAGGCTCCTCCTTCCCCAGCGAGAGAACTGCTGGATGTAACATCAGGGCTCCCCAAAACAGGCTCCACCATTTCACACCGCTCCTCCTGGAGAGGAATGACCTACTAACGCAATAAGGCCTCGGCAGAGCCGCTCCCCTGCGTGGAAAATGAGCGCCATCACCTGTTATAAATAGTTTCCACCAGGCTGAGGAGGAAGCGGCGCGTAGGCCCCTGCGCAGAGCGCTCGCCCACCGCTGCGGCAGCGCAGGGCAGCCCCTCACTCACCCAAAGTCACCACCATGACGGGGATGCTGAGGCGCTGGCGGGTGCTCTGGGACAGGCGCAGGAAGCCGTACTCCAGCGAGTACTCCACGATGTACTCCTCCTGCGGCCACACTGCGGAGAGCGAGACCCCGCACCGGGGTGTGCAATCAGTCGCCAGGAACACACAGCACCTCTGGGTTCCCCCCTCCCTCTCTCCCTCCCACCACGTTCTGGGAAAGAGAATCAGTTGCAAACGCAGGCTCCAGGCTTCCTTCCCCCGATGTAAAACAAATCAATACAAATTCTTTGAAATCGCAGCCCGTTCCCTTGACATTAAACCTTAACATGAAACTTGGGGGAAAGCTTCGGGTTCCAAGCTGTGTTAAACATTGCCCAGGATCTGCCCACACCTTTGCCTGGGGAGTCCTAGACCACTTGTTCCTGCTCTGTCCAATTTCTGCTCTCTGTGTTTTCAGGAAACAGCAGGGAAATACACCTTACACCTGCTGAACACCGAGTAAACACTCCAGAGGGCAGGAGTGCTGCGCTTCCCAGGAGACAGAGCTCACTGCTGCAATTACAAACCCCAGAACTAAAGGCAGGAGCAATTACAGCTCTGCAAAAAAATCTGCTGCCTGAAGCTTCCTTGAACAGCTCTGCAAAAAAATCTGCTGCCTGAAGTTTCCTTGATTTTTCCTTTTTTTTTTTTTTTCTTTTTAAAGAAAGGTTCAAAATAGATGCCTTTTGCTAAACTGTCTCTGAAAGGATAAAAACCTCCTGATGAATAGGAGCCAAGCAATTCAATCCCTGATCTTTCAAACTGTCACAGGGCATCTTGCAAGAGGCGGCAGCTGTCAAGGTCTCACAGCACCACAGTTAAAAGGATGCAATCACTTATAGGAAATGTACCTGCCTCTTCTGCCCGACAGAAATGCCCACTGCACTTCCCTGCCTCTGATCCTGTTTCCTGGGCAGCAAACACAGGCTCCTTTTATCTTTTGTTTCCATTGTAAAACGGTTGTAAGACCAAATGGAAATAAAGCGTTTGAATATCAACAAAAGAATTACCACCTCTGTATCATAAAACATTTTTCCGTGGTAAAATATTCTGTCTAAACATCAAACTCAGTGTACTTATAAGCCCAAGAAACGTGGAAAAACAATAAAAATGGGTATCTGGGGCCCATTTGAAAAGATCGATTTTCTTAACTGCGCTGGGAAGCAGCACAATCCTCTCTCCCACCCCATTCCTGGCTCATTTCCAACCAGGGTTCAGCAAACACAGGCGCTCACAGCACTGCCCAACGCGGCTCCTACAGAGCTCAGGAAACCATTAATAAAGGTATTGCACCAAAAATATTTACGTGTCTTACGTGACTTAATGATCTTAAATTCAGGACTAATGAGTTCTGGATCAGCATCAAGCAAAATCACTGCAAGACCATGGGAACAGTGTCCAGTCTCCCAGCCCTCCACAACCAGTACTTCTGAAGAGCAAAGAATTCCACTCTTTCCAGGGAAGAAAGTGTAGGTGAAACAGGCAAATTAAGTAAGAATCCCATTGCCATGTTTCTATTTTAATATCAACGTTTTTTAATAGATTTCCTCCCCTAACCACTAGAAACAGAAGTTTTCCAACACTGGAATTCCATTTTAAATAATACAAAGCCACTCAATCTCCCCCTGGAGTTGATGAGACACGAGCAGCTTAAGTCGTGCTGGAAGAAGGGGAGGGATAAGGCAGGATGATACCCTCAGGATGCAGAGCAGCAATGCCGTATCTCGCAATCCAATAAAACTTGCTCGGTGGCTTTCGGGATTAATTAGCTATTTCAAGTACTGGTGTTGAGTCAGGGACCCAAAATACAGCCCAAACCCTGTTAATGGGAGGAGGAATGTGCGCTGTCAGGGGGATCCCTGCAGAGCTGAAGAGGACGATGAGCTGCTCAGCAGAGGGAGGTTTGCATTCACCTGAGGTACCTGGTACCGGTCACTGCAGAAACACGGTGCCAGCCCACGAGGCTGCAGCACATTTTATGGCCCAGATCATCCCCCAGTCCCAGCCTCCCTCCAGCCAAGGGATGGGTATCGCTGCGGATCCATCATTAGTACGACACGATTAACCGCAGGGGAATGCGTCAGGGAAGACATTTAAGGTTACGATGCAGGTGCCCAGAGAAGGCAGAAGGAAGGGGACGTGCAGGGAAGGTGCAGGGGAAGGAGAGAGCACAGATAGCAGCGTAAGGTGTCTTTACCTGCTCTGGCTAGCATCTCAAACTCGGACACAGTCTCCCTCAGAGGCTGCATACCTTTAGTGGCCGCTTCACTAAACGAGAACTCCTGGCTTTCGTTGTGGGTCAGTGCCTCGGTGCTGCTCACCAGGGACGGCTTGAGGAACACCTTGGGCTCAATATCCAGCTCAAACTGTTGGAAAACCACGGCATGGGAAGTCACGTTAGCAGGCACTTCAGCTCCCATCTTCTGTGCTCCCTCCGTGTCCCCAGCAAAGGCCTCCACCACCAAAAGGAGAACAAAAGCCACCTTTTTGGGCTCCAATTTCTATCTCAAACCATCAGAGGCCAATGAGGAGACACAGGAAGAGCCAAGGAACACGCTCTGCCTCTGGGTGACCAAGGGATCACAGAGGGACTGTGGCACACTTGAGATGACCGCACTAACAAACCATTCCTCCCCAAACCGACAACCAGGTTCCCATCTCCCTCTGTGTACAAGGAACGTGCCTTTACCTTGATAGAGCTGTTTTCAAACATATCCACAGTCATCTCCTCCTCTTCCTCCTCCTCTTCCTCAGCTGTGGATTCAACTACCATTCCTGGGAACTTCTCAACGCCACAGAACTGCAGGAAGATGGGGGCTCGGCTGGAGTTGCGCTGGATTTCCACCCGCAGGATGCCGTCGCGTGGCCATTTGTCTCGCACGTGCTCCAGGCAGTTGATGGGCGAGCGGGAGAAGGCGATGTGGATGTAAGCCAGGATGAAGAGCACGAAGAGAGCCTACACATAGCAAGAAACACAGCAGAGACTCGTCAGCCCAACCAACTTCGGCCTGTTCACAGACTCCCCAGTTTGAACCACCTCCTCTTTGCCCATAAAGACACCGGATTAACTTGGACAAATGGATTTGCGAGTGGGCAGCAGCTTTTATGCTTTTCCGACCCCAGTGGTCTCTGCATCGATAACGAAGCAGCCCAGAATCAGGAAATTTTGGTGCTGCAGTATCAACAGGGGAACACAGCAGAGACAGCAGCAAGAACCACCTCCTCCTGTTTGGCAGCCCTGGTCTTGCATTGATACCTCAGCCAAGAATCAGGAAATTTTGGTGCTGCAGTATCAACAGTGGAACACAGCAGAGACAGCAGCAAGAACCACCTCCTCCTGTTTGCAAGACCAGGGCTGCCATCGATACCCGTGCAGGACACAGGTCACACACGCAGGCCCCAGCGCAAGGTCCCGCAAAGTGACCAAACAGCACCAACACGTGACGAGGCTCCAAAGCACAGGAACACATCTGTGGTGTTCAACCATTCCCTCCTCAGCACAAAGTGCTTCATGTGGAAGCCTGGAGAAGACCACCCAGCTTTTACAAAGGCAGAGAGAAGCAAACCTCAAAAGAAGACAACCCACCACAAGAGCAGGAGGACACAAACCCACGGCAGAGCCACCAGCTCCACGTTCAGATCCAGTGCTCACTGCTGCAAGGTACAGACTGGGCCAGGGCAGGGGTGGCACTGGGCTCGGAGGCACCACCACTGCCGTGCCCTGGCTTGCCCCAAGGAACAGCTATAAAGTCACAGCAAAACAAAGCAGACAAATAAAATTCCCTCCCTGTAGTAAATGATGGTAAATCCAGCATGACACTACCCAGTGCTGTCCAAAGGTCAGAGCTGAGAGCTCCGAAAAACAGTGGTAGAGGAAGTGGTACAGCTGAGTTTCAAACGCTCACTTCCCAACTGCATGAAGATGCTCATTCCTAATTAAACCAGCTGTCCTTGCTACACATCCTTCCTGACCTATTTGCTATGAATAAACAGACGGGTAAACACCACATCTGCAGAGCAGCTGCAAAGGAAGATGCTGGGGAAGGTAAGTCAGAAACACCTCCCTCGTGGCAGGAGGAGCCACGATGAAGCTGGCAGAGCCACAAGCAGTTTGAGGACTCTGCCAGCAGCAGCACGCAGGACCACGGGCTCTGACTTCACCCCTACTCTGCGCCCAGAGCTGAGAGCAGGACGGAGTCTGGCTGACTCCTAACCCCATGGCTCTTCTTTGCAGACACCCTGTGAACTCTCCAATTTCCTCAGGAGCGCTCTGAGCAAAGGCAAACAGCAGCAGGAACCGCTACCAGCCAGACCACTCGCTCTCCTGACAGCCTCACTGCCAGCACCGTCCCCAATCCAGCCTCCCGGAATCCAGTTATACAACAGGGGGAAAAAAAAAAAAGAGATGTTAAAATCTCTAACATTTCTTGGAAGGGGAGAAAACACATATGTGCAGTATCAGACAAATTCTCCCAAATATTTCCTTGCTTTAAGCAACTGAACTTTAGAAACTCAGAGCAGAACTGCGCTGCTGTCACCTGGCAAGCTCCTCTCCCCCTTCCCCTTATCTATTTCCCAGGCCCCTCGGTGGGTCCCCAGTCCTGCACCCACAACAGGAAAGCAGGTGGGTTTTTACCCTGGCGCAGAGGTGTGACGCTGTGCTGCTGCTGACAGCGTGCCAACTGACAGAACGAAATGGGCTTAAGATGGGGTTGTGCATTAATTGCTTCCAGAAAAGACAAGACTCCAACAATCCAATCTCTCACGTAGGCAATGTATCCAAAACCAGCGGTTTTCTCGGAAAGAGAAACCTTCCATGCCCACATCCCTGACCCGACCCACACCAGCCTGGCTGCCCACCGAGCTGGCTCAGGGATTTCCTTGTTATTCCCAGTTACGGTGCCAGAGCTCTGGCGGTGTGGGTACCACCACAGCCCATTATGATTCCTCATGTCTTTCTCAAAGAAGAGAGGCCCACGGGAGCTCAGGGGACAGCTTGGGGTCAGTGGCCTACACACAGGCTGTGCCCTCTAGCAGAACCAATATTTTTTTTGTGTTTATAAGGAAATTTATGCCCCAGTACCCAACTGCAGCCAACAGGAGCGTCCAGTCCTCCCTACAAAGCTGCCCCTCACCTTGAGGAGGACGAAGAACTCGAAGACCCGTCGGAAGGAGGGTGGGAAGAGGCGAGCGTAGGTCACTGCCATCTTGAAGAAGAGCGCGTGGAAGAGGCGGTCGCGCACGTTGATCAAGGGGTTCTGGTTGAGGTTGGGATTGCGGACGCCGCGGTTGTTGCCCCCGGCACCCCCCCCGCCGCCGTTGTTGTGGGCCGGGTGGTGGTTGTTGGCGTTGGGCTGGTTCTCAGACATCCTGAGGCCGCGGCCGGCAGCCGAAGGGCTCCGGCGGCGCTGACCTGGGCAGGAGGAGCCGTTCCTCCCCCCGCTGAGCGGACTTGGAGCCGGGCGGCCGCTCCGGAGGGGTGTGAGGGTCAAGCGCTGCCTCCGAGGGCCCGGGGAGAAGCCCCGCACCGGGAGCCGTTGGGCGCCGGCCGCCGGGCAGGGGCTGTCCCGGTCCCGCTCTCCTCAGGGGCGGCCTCCCCGGACCCGGCCCGGCCTCCTGCGCGCAGAGGACTCCCGAGCGGCGGGTGGGTCAGGCCTAACGGGGCCCGGGCCAGGTGTCGGGACTCAGGGGGCCGCCGCCTCGGCGGGGCCCGGTAGCGGCGCGGCCCGAGCAGGCCCAGCGGAGACGCGGCTCCTGGGCCGGCCCCGCGGCCATGGGGTGGGGGGTCCGTCACCGGGGCGGCGCAGCCGGTCCCGGAGCGCAGAGCGGCGGTTCTGGCTCTCGCGGTGCGGTACGGTGCGGAGCAGCCCGGTCCCGTCCTCTCAGCGCCCCGCCGCCATCTTCCTCCGCCGGCACCGACGGCGGCGACACCGCGCCTGCGCGAGCGCCGCGGGGAACGCTGGGACGGTGGAGGGCAAGCGCCGGCCCCGCCCCTCCCTGGGATGCAAAGTAGGGTGTGTCCCGTCATGCATCGCGCGCAAAGCCCGCCGCTCCGCAGGGTTTTTCACCGCAGAAACGCCAAAATTTCTCAAAAAGGAGGATTTATGTATAAGAACTGATGTATAGCGCTTAGGAGAGTGAAGTCGTAGGGAAAAAGTAGGAATCTGAGAGGGGCTCCTCACCATGACTCTAAAATTATAAAAAGCGAGTAGTTTAAATAGCGTAGTGGAGGAGGCTGGGTTCGTGCTCGCTTCGGCAGCACATATACTAAAATTGGAACGATACAGAGAAGATTAGCATGGCCCCTGCGAAAGGATGACCCACAAATGCGTGAAGCGTTCCATATTTTTTTTTCTCCTCGGGAACCACCAGAAGCTCTCCCAGACCCCGGGGAACCCTTTTGGGTCCCCGCGCCACGGGCCGTGAGCTGCCCCAGCGCCCCAGCCCCAGTGTGTGGCCTTCTCGGCATAGGAGAGTGGCGAGGGGAACAGAAGAGCACCCCAAAACCTCCACACCCCCCAGCTCTGCTTGGATCCCTGCGCGGTGGAGGTCCCACAAGGACACCTGTGTGAGGGGTGAGACCCCTGTCCCCGCTGGGACACCCTGGAGGGGGAGAAGGTGGAGAGGAAGGAGCCTTGGGGAGTGGCAGGCGGGGACCCCTGCCCAGGGACCATCCGGGGTGAGGAAGACCCTGGCTGACCTTCGGCCACTTGGGGAGGTGCATGGAAGGGGCTGCAGGGTGGTCACAGGACAGGGAAGGAGCTGGCCTGTCTGTGTCCCCTGAGAGAGAGCCACCCTGCTGCCCCCCGTCCCCCTGTGCCCCGTGTCCCCCAGCGGGGCTGCAGCAGTGTGAGAGTGATGACCCCCCGGGCAGTACCGCGGGTCTTTATTTAATTACTCTTTTACAGCAGACTCTGCTCTGTGCAGTCGGGGTCCCGGGGCCAGCCCCAGCCCCCCACAATCCCTAGGGCAGCCCCCCACATCCAACTCAGCCCCCCGGAGGGTACAACCCGCCGAGGGGGAGCTGGGGCCAGCCCTGGTGCTCTCGCCCTCCCCAGCACCCGGAGCATCCTGGGGAATGACAGCAGCAGGATGCGTCCAGGCCCCCCTGTGCAGCTCTGGGGGTCCGGGGTGGCCAGAAGCCCCAGGACTCCAGGTTGTGCTGTGGTGACAGCTGGGAAGGGGTCCGTGGGGCACTGTGCCCCCACTCAGACAGTGCTCTCCTGGTAGCTGTCATCCTCCAGGAACGGTGTCAGCCTCCTCCCGGGGCTGGGGGCCACATCCTGCTCTGGGGCCGCAGCCCCCTCGGGGTCCTCGTCGCTCTGCTCCTTGGCGAAGTGCACAAAGACCTGCAGGGAGGGCAGGGTGAGGGGCAGCCCAGGCGGCGCCCTGTCCCCCCATGCCCTTGTGCCCCGTGTCCCCCGGCACCTGGTCGAGGGTGGTCTGGGACACGGAGTAGTCCTCGATGTGGCAGGGCCCGCGGTGGGCTGCCAGGACACTGAAGACGCTGGCCAAGGAGGCGGCGCGGGAGGGGAGCTGGAACTGCAGCAGCCCCCCGTGCCGCTCCTTCAGCACGATGCCGGGGAACTGCTGCAGCATCAGGCTCTCCACCGGCCCCGGCCCGGGGCCACCAACCCGCACCACCACCGTGTAGCCGTCCCCAAACCTGCAGAGGAGAGGGGGACATCACTGCAGAGTCTGGCTGTGTCCCCAAACCCTGCAGGTTGGCCGCCCCCCACCACCGGAGCCTTCCCCAAGCCCCCGGCCCCATTTACCTGTTCTTGAGGTGCTGGACGCTGCCCAGGCAGCGGAACCGGCCGTTGACCATGATGGCCATCCTGGTGCACAGCGCCTCGCACTCCTCCATGCTGCCGGGGGGCAAGGTGTGAGGCCTGGGGGGCAGAGGGGTGCTCCCCTCCAGGGTGCCGTGGGGGCAGAGGACGGGGGCTCACCTGTGGGACGTGAGCACCACGGACCTGCCCTCCCGGATGACGCTGAGGATGCAGTCCCACAGGAACCGCCGGGCTCGCGGGTCCATCCCCGTCGTGGGCTCATCCTGCGACAGCCCCGGTGGCTGTGTCAGCCCCAGCAGGGCCAGGCGCTGCTGTGGGAGCCCCCCCAACCACCCCCACTCACCAGGAAGACGACGGGGGGGGAGCCGAGGAGGGCTATGGCCGTGGAGAGCTTGCGCTTGTTGCCCCCGCTGTACTTGCCCGCCGGCCGGTCCGCGTGCGGCTCCAGCCCCAGCTTGGTGATGCCCCACTGGGCCACCTGCCAGAGATGGGGAGGGGATGAGGATGGGGGTGCCCTGGGCTGGGGGGGGTGGGGGCACGGGCCCTACCCTGGGGGTCTCCTCCTCTGGGACACCGCGCAGGCGGCTGTAGAACTCCAGGTGCTCCCGTCCCGTCAGCAGGTCCGTGATGGCGTCGAACTGGGGGCAGTAGCCCATGTGCTGGTGGACGGACTGCAGGTCGGTGAGCACGCTGCGGGGACGGGGACACGGCTGAGCGCGCTGCGGGGACGGGGACAAGCTCCGGGGACGGGGACGAGGCTGAGCACACTGCGGGAACAGGGATGAGCCCGCTACGGGGATGAGGATGAGGATGAAGCCGAGCGCCAGCACGCTGCAGGGATGAGGGCAAGGAGGAGCGCAGGGAGAGGACAGGGACGACGTGGGGACAAGCAGAGGGGGACCAGCGGGTTGGCTGTGGGGTCCCTCCGACTCGCCCACCTGTGCCCTTTCAGCCAGGCCTCCCCCAGCGTCACCTCCGTGTCCCCCGTCAGCATCTTGAAGGTGGAGGTCTTCCCCGCGCCGTTCACCCCCAGGAGGCCGAAGCACTGCGGGGCACAGATTGGGGTTACGGCAGCCCCAGCCATGCCCACGGTGCTGTCTGTCCATCTGTCCATCCATCGGCACTCACCTCCCCGGGGGGGACAGCCACGCAGAGCCGGTCCACAGCCGGAGCCCTCCTGCGCCGATAGACCTGCGCGGCAGAGCCCCCCAACCGTCACCCACCAGTGGGGCCGGGGCCTACGGGAGAGGCTGGACCCCCCCAGCGAGGGCCGCGGCAGGGTCCGGCCCCACGGCACGCACCTTGGTCAGGTCCTTCAGCAGCAGGAGGTGGCCGTGTGGCGGGGTGCTGGCCACCCTCACCCGCTCCCGGGCCACGTCCTGGTCCTCCTCCCCCAGCGAGGGCAGCTGCAGAGCCTGTGGCCTGGGGGCAACAGCGGCAGGGGCACTTCCAGGGCTGCCCACCCCACGGCCACCCCACGGCTGCCCCACGGCTGGTGCTCACCCCAGGCGCAGGAAGAAGCGGTATTGCAGCAGGAGGGTGAAGAGGAAGAAGATGACACCCTCGATGGCCATGGCGAACATGTTCTTCCCCACCAGATCCCAGGAGAGTGGGGACACGAAGCGCTTGTCCCCTGTGAGTGGTGAGAGGGACTGTAGAAGGGGGGGACACTGGGGAGGGCCCCTGCACTAGCTGGGCTTTGGGAAGGGGGAGCAGCCCTGACACCCCCAGACTCACCGAACCTCTCAAAGGCATCAGCCATCGCCTGGTTCTTCACCATGTCGATGAGGCCTCGGCCCAGACAGAAGTGGGGGAAGATGAGGAAAACTTTCTTCAGGACGCGGTTGATGTCGTTGAGTTTCTGACGGGGTGGTGAGGAGAGGGGTGGGGGAGCTGGTGCCAGCTCCACGGGGACATGAGGGGGGTCCGGGGCAGCCCAGGGGCTCACCTTGTCCACAAAGAGCTCCAGCACGAAGGTGGCCACGCTGCCGTTGATGCCGATGAAGAGGTTGATGCAGGTGAGGGCCACGTAGGCGGTGCTGGGGATGCTGAAGAGGAAGGAGGCTGGGTACATCAGGGGGGTGATGGACCACCTGGAGGGCAGAGAGACGGGGGCTGGCTGAGGTGCACCTGTCCTGGGGGGCACAACAGGGCAAGCCAGCCCCCAGCCCCCATCACCACGACCTTCTGAGACAGGGCAGCCCCCAGCCCTGTTCAGAGCCCCCTCTGTGTCCCCTCCTTCCTGGAGTCCAGCCCCGGGGGTGCTCCCCCAGCCCTTCACCCGTAGAGCAGCAGCAGCAGCACCAGGGAGGGCAGGTTGGCAGAGGACACGTAGGACTTCTGCTGGAAGCAGAGGAAGATGAGGACGACCAGCAGCGCAGGGACCAGGTAGTTGCACTGTGGGCATGGAGAAGCCGGGGAGGGGGTCACAAATGGGACCTGGCCCCCCGGAGCTGTACCACATCCCTGTCCCCAACCCGCACCATGTCCCAGGCGAAGTTGCCCAGCCAGTAGGTGACAGGCTTCATCCCGCTGACGAACTGCAGGTGCTTGGCCTTGCTGACCCGCTCCTCGATGAGGAAGAGCACGAAGCTGGCTGGGACGAAGGACATGGCGAAGATCACGCAGATGGAGACCAGCACGTCCACCGAGGTGGCCATCCTGCCGCAGAGGGGAGGGCTCAGCCGGGGACAGCAGGGGACCCTGCGGGACCCCGTTCCCCAGCACTCACAGGGCGGCCTCCGAGAGCTGCTCCTTGGTGAGGTTGAGGGGGTGGTTGGTGGCCGTGATGCCGTAGAGCGCGGGGTCGGTCCCGGCGGGCAGCCAGGCACGCAGCAGCCCGTTGCTGGCCACGTTGACGAAGGAGACCATGGCGTGCCAGCCCTTGTTGTTGAACCAGACCTGCAGCCCAGGGGAGCCCGGTGGCTCAGAGACCCCCTCCCACCCCAGCGCTGCACCCACAGCACCCCGAGGGGCTCCCACTGCCCCCTGGCTCCAGCTGGGATCAGATCTTCTCAAGCTGCTCCCATCCCAGATGGGGTCCCAGGTGCCATGTCACTGCTGCCCCGCAGCTCTCTCTCGGGGCCAGACGTACCTTGATGTTCCTGCGGGCGTCCAGGCCCTCGATGAAGCGGCTGAGGTTGCGCAGGAGCCGGTCCGAGGGGCTGCCCTGGGTGTGGGAACAGGGGGTGAGGAGCAGGCTCGGGCCAGAGCCCTCCCAGTGCTGGGATGTCAAGAGCTGTGATGTTGAAGAGCGCCCGGAGCTCCAGCACCGCCTCCTCCACCTCCAACGCCGACGGCAGGGCCTGGGAGCCACCAGCGCCCAGGGAAAAGCCACCGTACCTGCAGGGATGGACGGGTACTTCCAACCCTGCCATCCCACGGAATCCCTCCTGCCCCTCCACCCTGCTCAGGGCACCCTGCTCACCCAGAGGCCAGGGTGAGGGGCACACAGGGTAGGGCTGGAGTTGCCCAGATGAGGACTCTGCCCACAGGTGGCTCAGGCTCTGCCCGACCCCACAGGGAAGCTCCTGCCCCCCCACCCCATCTGCATGAGACCCCCAGCCCCTCAGGCTCACCTCTGCTCGTTCACCCACTTCTTGTTCCTCAGCCTGAAAGAAATGGGATGGGGGGAGAAACACCCCCGAGGAGAGGTTACGGCAGCGCCCGCCCGGCCACGAGTCCCCCAGCAGCTCCCCCTTTACCCCGTGGTGCCCTCACGGGGTTTGGTCCCCAGCGTCCCTCCCTGCTCCCAGCACAGAGGCAGCCTGTGCCAAAGCCCTGCCCTGTTCTCCCTCCCGTGTCCCCAGCGTGTCCCCAGCCCCAGCACTCACTCCTGGCGGATGATCTGGGGGTAGGTCTTCACCAGGTAGTCCGAGATGTTCCTGCCCGTCAGGTTCTGCAGGATATCGCCTGTGCCCCTTTGCACCTGGGGGGGATGGACAGACGGGCTGGACGGACACACAGACCCACCGGCCTCCCTGGAGCATCACCTGCACCCGCACCCGGCAGCGCTGGTGCCCCCCACTGCGGGCTGGGGGTTACCTGGGGCGGTGGGAGCCCCCCGGCCCCCTCGGGGCAGTCAGGCAGCATCCTGCGAGCCCCCGGCCCGCTGCACCGGCACGGGGGGGACGGCTCCGCCTGCGTCCAGTTCCCACGCTGCAGCACTTCCAGCAGGGCTGGGGGGGCCGGGGGGGCCAAGAAGCCGTCGGGGTGGGAAGCTGGGGGGCACGGCCCCGTCCTGGGCACCCGGCACCACGGGGGGAGAGAGACCCCTGTTACCCACCTGGACTGAGCCAGAGGCATCGGGACTTTCCCCCCACCATGGGGATGGCTGGGGGGGTCCCGTGGCATGGCACTGGCTGGCAGGGCTGCCCCCAAGCCCCAGCTGCCCCCTCCCGCCCCCCCCGTCCCGCAGCCACTCACTCCTCCCCGGCATCCTTCATGCACTCGGTGCCAAAGCCTGGCTCGGCCAGGAGCGTGGCCAGCAGCTGAGCCGTGTCGGGGTCCCCCGGGGCGTCGTTGCTGCCGGGAGATACAGGATTGAGCCGGTGACAGGGAGGGACAGGGGACACAGGGATTTGGGGGGACAGGGGACATGGAGGGGGGACAGAGGGATGGGGACACACCTGAAGAAGGTGAACTGCTGCCCGTACATCCAGGGCCGGAGGCGCAGCGGTGGGTACTTCCCGAAGGGCGGCACGATGAGGCTGAAGAGCAGCGCGATGCAGACGAAGACGGCGGGCAGGACGATCTGCCGGGGGGGTGGGGTGGGAGTGGGGGGGTCAGGGCTGGCTCTGCACCCCCTGCCCCATCCCCTCCACACCCTCCCAGCCCCGTCCCGGTCCCCCGGCCGTACCTGTGCGAAGAAGCCGCGGGTGCTGCGTCGGGCGTGGAGCATCCTCTTGATGAAGAGCGCGCGGAGCTGCTGGCGGGTGAGCGCCCAGCCCCTCACCCTGCGACAGGCCTGCCCGGCGCCCCCCCGCAGCAGGTCGGTCTCCCGGGACTCCTCTGCTGGGGGGGCAGAGCCAGCAGTGAGGGGCAGGGGCTCGGCTGGGTGATGACGGGGGTCGGGGTGTCCCCCCACCCCAGCAGGGTCAGGGTGCTGCATGCAGGGACGTGACGGGAGCCCCCCAGCCCTCTGCTCAGCCCCCACTCCTACCTCGCCGGGCTCCTTTGGCTCAGCGTAAAGGAGAGGAAAGGGGGGTTATAGCCACGCCAGCGCCTGCCCAGCCGGGTCAGCACCAACCCAGGGCAGAGCCAGCTCCCCAGACTGTCACAGCCCCCCCAGGACCCCACAGCTTCCCCCACACCAGCTCTGTCTCCAGGGAAAGGGGCCTGGATACTTCCCCTGGGATTTCATGTCCCACCCCAGCCCCTGCACAGAGCTGGCCTCCCCCAAACCCACAACCATCCCTGCCCCTCGCCCTGCCCGATGCCCTGGGGGGCACCCTGAGGCTGGGCAGGGGTGATGGAGCATCCCTGAGCCTCCCCCTGCCTGCAGGGATGCGTGTCCAAAGGGACGCCAGCTTGGATGGATGTGCCTGGACGGACACGTGCCATGGCCCCAGCCCAAGGGCTGGGCACCTCAGGGGTCCCAGGACCCAGCTCCCCCCTCCTTACCCAGCTCCCCGTCGGCTGCTTCTGCATCCCCCCCCTCGCCAGGGGCTGCTCCGCTCCTGGTGCCTGACAAAACGGGGTGAGAGCACCAGAGTGGGACTGAGGCCAGGACCTGTGATTCTTCCCTGCACCCATGGGTGCTCCCAGCAGGGACCCCAGCCCTGGGAAGGGCCAGGGCCACTTGGGGTGCTGGGAACACCCGCATCCCTCTGCTCCGGGCTGCAGAGCATCTCCCCCCGGCCCCCTGCCCCACACCCCAGCACCCTGAATCTCACTCCCAGCCAGCACCGAGGCATTTTACCTGCCATGTCAGCATCCAGCCCCGTGTCCTGGGCCACCTTCAGAAAGATCTGAGGGAGGGAGGGGGCTCGCATTAAATTTGGCCACCTGCACCCACCACCCCAGTGAGGCAAACCCCCCAGGTTGGGGGCAGCCCCCGGCAGAGCCCCAGGGAGGGTGGGCACCCCGGGAGCCGCAGCTCCTCCAGGTACCTCTTCCAGGGTGGTGTCGGAGATGCCGTAGCTGGAGATGCCCAGCTCCCCCAGGCGGGTGTCCAGCTCACGGAAGAGGTCCCCGAAGGCCCCATCCTTGGCCCCGCTGTAGGGCAGGACGAAGAGCACCTCGTGCCCGATGTCCTCCACCAGCCGGGAGCCGGGGACCAGCTTCTGGATCAGCGCTGAGAGCTGGGTCACATCTGGGGGGACAGGGAGGGCTGGAAGCCTGTGGCAGGAGCCGGTGGCCAGCACAGGAGCTGGGCAAAGCTGGCATGTGCCCTGCATTCTGGTCTGGGGGTCGCCCGGGGGGCTGCAGGGGGCAGGAGGGCAGGGAGCCCCACAAGTGCACAGGGGGGCAAGACTTGGTGGCAGGGCAGGGTGTGGGGCTGAATGCACCCACACCCCTGCCCCGGCCAAGGGGGGACACGTGGGGCACACCCGGGGGGTGACACCGGAAGGCCCCATCCTTGGCCCCGCTGTAGGGCAGGACGAAGAGCACCTCGTGCCCAATGTCCTCCACCAGCCGGGAGCCGGGGACCAGCTTCTGGATCAGCGCTGAGAGCTGGGTCACATCTGGGGGGACAGGGAGGGCTGGAAGCCTGTGGCAGGAGCCGGTGGCCAGCACAGGAGCTGGGCAAAGCTGGCATGTGCCCTGCATTCTGGTCTGGGGGTCACCCGGGGGGCTGCAGGGGGCAGGAGGGCAGGGAGCCCCACAAGTGCACAGGGGGGCAAGACTTGGTGGCAGGGCAGGGTGTGGGGCTGAATGCACCCACACCCCTGCCCCGGCCAAGGGGGGACACGTGGGGCACACCCGGGGGGTGACACCGTGCTGAGGGCACAGGGAGGGACGGGACCCTCACCCACGGCGCTGGCCTCGCTGCCCCGCTCGCTGCCCAGCCCCGTGTCACTGCTCTGCTCCGAGTCGCTGCTGTCCTGCGGGAAAGGGTGGCCACAGCCTGGCACCCTGCGGCAGGACCTGGCCCCGAGCCTGGGGCTCGGCACCCCCTGATCCCCAGGGCAGAGGCACCAGTCACCCTCTTGGCTGGTGCTCGGCGGGGCCGAGGGACCCACCTTTTTGGTGGTGCTGGGGACGGTGCCGGTGCTGCCGCCCGTCCCGACCGGCTCCCGCTTCACCAGGGTGAGGTGGTACCCGGTGCCCAGCCTGGCCTTGAGGAAGAGCGGGGACCCGCAGCAGCAGAGCCGGCCCTGCGAGATGATGGCCGTGCGGTCCCCCAGCAGCTCCGCCTCGTCCATGTAGTGGGTGGACAGGATGATGGTGCGGCCTGGGGGGGGGCAGGCAGTGGGATGAACCCCCCAACCCCCTCGCTGGACCTTCCTTTGTAAGCATCTCCCCACCAGCACATCTCCCTGCTCGCCCCAGGGGCCCTGCTGCTGGCCGTCCAGCGCTGGGGGGCTCAGACACTCGAGGGGGAAGAGGGGGTTCCCCTGCACCCCCCGGCCCTGACCTTTGCGGTACTTGAGCAGCAGCTCCCAGATGCTGCGGCGGGAGTAGGGGTCAACACCGGCCGTGGGCTCGTCCAGGATGACCACCCGAGAGCCACCCACGAAGGCGATGGCCACCGAGAGCTTCCTCTGCATCCCTCCTGAGGGGCAGCAGGGACAGCGTTGGGGGGTGCCGGGGCTGTGGACCCCCACTCGGCTGCTGGTCCTGCCCCCCACACGCACCCGAGAGGTTCCTGGTCTGCTCCCGGCGCTTGTGGGGCAGCCCCGTGTCCTGGATCAGCTGCTCCATCTCTGCCTTCACCTGCTCCTCCGACAGCCCCTTCAGCCGCCCGTAGAACCAGACGTGCTCCTCCACCGTCAGGCTGGGGTGAGGGCTGGGGGTCAGGGGGGGCAGCTCGGCCCGTGCCAGCCCCCCATCCCGCTCCCCTGCCCTCCCTGCCCCTACATGTCAAAGAGCACGTTGTGCTGGGGACACGTCCCCATGGTTTTGCGGATGCTGTCGATGTCGGAGCGGATGTCCCAGCCCAGGATATAGGCAGTGCCGGCGGTGGGGGGCAGAAGACCGGTCAGGATGGACCTGGAGGAGGTTCAGTGGGGAAAAAGGGTCATGGAGAGGAGGACCAGTGGGGCTTGGGTGCCCCATCCTATGCAGGGTGCTCAGCGCCCGGCCTCATGGGGACCCAGGTTGGGACAGATTGGATGGGGACGTGGCAGCAGCAGGGCAGAGCCGGGCTCAGCTCCCTTCCCCGCTGTGCCCCCCACCCCCCAGCTCACATGGTGGTGGTCTTGCCGGCCCCGTTGTGGCCCAGGAAGGAGGTGATCTGCCCCTCGTAGAAGTCCAGGCTCAGCCCGTTGACGGCCACGCGGCTGCTGCTGCGGTAAATCTTCACCAGGTTGCGGATGGAGACACCAGGCTGGAGCTGGGCAGGCGGCTCCTCCACCAGCACTGGAACCCACCAGAGGGTCACATCCAGGACAGGACCCTTTGCCAGGGGGCAAAGCCTGGGTGGGAGGGCTCAAGCCCAGCTCGGTGGCTACCAGCCCTTGGCCGTGTGGCTCCGGGGTGGGCAAGTGCTCACCTTGGGGTGCAGAGAGGGGGCTGGTGGGGTAGGGAGGGTGCCCGGCTGAAGATGGCTCTCCAAGCCAGTAGCTCTTCAGGAAAGGGAAATTCCAGGGCTTGGGGATCCCGTACTGACCTGCAGCAGACGGGGACTGAGCGGGGCTGGGGGGCTGCCGGGGTCCGGGGGGGCTGCTGGGGTCTGGGGGTCTGCACTCACCTGGGAAGACACCCTCCAGGTACCAGGTGGCCAGGCCGTAGAGCCCAGCGTCCAGCAGCAGCAGCCCCATGGCCGTGGCGAAGTTGTAGGGGTCTCCCGGCACGGGGCTGGTGGCCAAGTTGTGCCACTGGATGCCCACCCCCTGCTCCTCGTAGAGGGAGAAGTACTCGCAGCCGAAGCCGAAGGCCACCGGTGACAGCAAGCTCTGGTGGCAGCAGGAATGGCAGCGTGGGCAGAAAGACCAGCCAGGGGGGTTCAGCCCAAAGCCCCCCACTCAGGGTGCCCAGGGGGCATCAGGGAGGGGGCAGCCATGGCCACTCACCACGAGGACGCGGAGCGGGAAGGTGATGTGGTCGCGCCAGGCGACGCACAGCACGTAGGGCAGGTAGAGGGAGAAGTAGATGATGCCACCACAAGCCGAGGCCAGGTTGGCACGGGGAAAGAAGGTGCTGATGAGGAAGCACTGGCTGATGGTGGCCACCGAGAAGGTGCCGAGGAAGAGGAAGATGACGGCCGGGTCGCTGTAGGGCAGGATGTTTCCCAGCTGTGGATGGAAGCAGGTTGGACCCTGAGGAGCCCCCCATGCTGGCTCCCAGCCCCGATGCTCCCCAGGTCACCCACACTGTCCCCTGTGCCCTGCAACCTGCCTTAAGGATGAGGACGAGGAGGGCAGAGCTGAGGAGGAAGGGGATGAAGCTGCTGAGGAACCAGCTGAGCCAGAGGATCCCACTGCTCAGCCCCATGGTCTTCATAGTCTCCTTGAGACGGGTCTCCTTCTCGTGCACCACCCCCTTGATGATCATGGCCACCGAGTAGATCCAGGCCAGTGTCATGAAGAGGGGCAGAGAGCGGTTCAGCACCCGCAGGAACCTGGGGGAGATGGCACCAGCCCTTCCACCTCCAGCCTGGCATCTTGGGGCCACCGCCAGGCAGGGGACACCCGGGGCATGGACCAGCCCCGTGCCACCTCCCTGGGGCAGCGATGCTGCAGGGTGCTTGGACCCGTCCCCCAGCAGTGGGTCAGTCGAGGGTCCTGGGGAGCTGGGGCCACCCCCCCCCACCCACTCACACATCATCCACATAGCAGGGGTAGGGCATCTGCTGGACATAGACCCCTGTCCGTGGGGCAGCCCCCGTCTGCACCCGCACCACCGCCTGCTCCACCAGGTCCTGCACGTAGACGAAGCCCCCCCACACGTAGCGCAGGTCACTGAAGGGGTCAGCTGCGGGGCCTGGGTCCCAAAACCTGGGGGCAGAGCACGGTGTTGGAGGGGGTCCAGCATGGGCGTAGGATGCTCAGGGACCATGGAGATGAAAAGGGTGGGTGTCCCCCGACCTGTCCTTGATCTTGTTGGTCCTGGTGACATCATCAATATCCATACGGATCTTGTAGCGGACGTGGGGGGGCAGCGCGGGGGCCGTGGCGTTGATGGGGGGCTGGAAGACCACAGCTGCCCAGAACTGCTGCTCCTCCAGCAGCTCCAGGGCCCGGGCCACCAGCTGCTCCTCGGTGGCCACCGCCTCGATCTTGTCCAGGCAGACACACTGCAGGCAGGGTGGGCACGGCTCAGTGGGGCTGGGGTAGCCACCCTGCCCGGGCAACCGGGGTGACATGTACCTCCATGAACTGGGACAGCGTGCTCAGGACCACGTCAGCATCAGCGTACACCTCCTGCCAGGTGGGGCCTGGCCCCTCCGCCGGCCCCCCCAGGAACCCAACCAGCGCCGGCAGCTTCCAGGAGGTGCCGTTGAGGAACCCATCCAGGAGCTGGGCTGTCCCCGGGGCCAGCAGCAGGTCCTGCAAAGCACCAGGGTGACACAGCCCAACCAGGAGGACCCCCTCCACCCTGCCCATTGCACCCCCATCTCACACCCCACCACAGCCCAGTCCCCAATGGGGAGAGGGTCTGGGGGGGTCACGCACCCGGAGGACCTGCATCTCCAGGCTGCTGTTGAGGAAGGTGTAGATGCGGGGTCCCAGCTCCCGCCAGGCGCCCCCCATCTCCCCCAGCACCGCCAGCTCCCGGAAGGTCCGGTTCACCTACGGGAGGAGGGGGAATGAGGCAGGGACCCCACGGTATCTCTGGGTGTCCCTGTGCCCCACAGCCCCACTCTGCTCCCCCCAGGTCTCCTCCATGACCAGCCTCGCCGAGCTGCGGCGGGAGCTCGGGGTGCTGATGGCCACCAACGCCAGCAGAGCTGGCGTTGGTGGCCATCAGCACCCCGAGCTCCCGCCGCAGCTCGGCGAGGCTGGTCATGGAGGAGACCTGGGGGGAGCAGAGTGGGGCTGTGGGGCACAGGGACACCCAGAGATACCGTGGGGTGCAGAGGGGGGTGGGTAGTGGAGTTGGGGAGCTACCTCCTCCATCAGGGATGCTGCATCCCGCAGGAAGGTGCCCAAGGCTTCCACGGTACCAGCGATGCCACCCACCTCTGAGCTCAGCTGCTCCTGCAATGGGGGGACAGGGGAAAAGCTCCCGCCAGGCGCCCCCCATCTCCCCCAGCACCGCCAGCTCCCGGAAGGTCCGGTTCACCTACGGGAGGAGGGGGAATGAGGCAGGGTTGGGGTGAACCCACCCCCCCTCCAGCCCCCCACTTACCTCAGCCATGATGCTGTCAGGGCCGGGGCCGGGCGGCGTGTAGAGGATCTTCCCCATGAAGAGGGGCTTGATCCCCTTCCAGAAGATCTGGGAGAAGGGGCTGGACTCCAAGCTACGCACCAGCTCTCGGCAGAAGGGACCTGGGTGGTGACAGAGCCGAGTCCTCGCCACCAGAAACCCCCCCCAAATAGCCCACCTGAGCCCCCCCACCTCCTTGCAGCCCAGCCTGCTCACTACTGCTGTTGCCCGGGGTCTTGGTTCTCCGCTCCGAGCTGTTGCGGTCCAGGAAGGCTTTGACGTCGTTGTCCTCGTACCAGTTGAGGGAGGGGATCCTGAGCCCCCCACCCTCGGGGTGCCCACAGGCGATGCGTGACAAGGTCCCAAAGGCACCTGAGCCGAGCTGCGGCGGGAGCTCGGGGTGCTGATGGCCACCAACGCCAGCTCTGCTGGCGTTGGTGGCCATCAGCACCCCGAGCTCCCGCCGCAGCTCGGCTCAGGTGCCTTTGGGACCTTGTCACGCATCGCCTGTGGGCACCCCGAGGGTGGGGGGCTCAGGATCCCCTCCCTCAACTGGTACGAGGACAACGACGTCAAAGCCTTCCTGGACCGCAACAGCTCTTTGGGAGGGGGATCTCTGCCCAGTGCCCTCCAGCACCCAGCCTAGCCAGGTTGGATGGTGCTTTGAGGAATTTGGTCTAGTGGGAGGTGTCTCTGTTGGTCTTTAAGGTCCTTTCCAACCCAAACCCAGGAGGATGGGGCCAGTCTTTTCTCAGTGGTGCCCAGGGACAGGACAAGAGGGAACGGGCACAAACTTGAATATAAGAATTTCCACCTAAACATGAGGAGGAACTTCTTTACTGTGAGAGTGGTAGAGCCCTGGAACAAGCTGCCCAGAGAGGTGGTGGAGTCTCCTTCTCTGGAGACATTCAAACCCACCTGGACACATTCCTGTGCAACCTGCTCTGGGTGGCCCTGCTCTGGCAGGGGGTTGGACTAGATGATCTCCAGAGGTCCCTTCCAACCCCATATGATTCTATCATTCTATCAAACCAGTCTATAAATCTATGATTTTAGGGGGGGGCGCGGGGCTCACCACCAGGAGCCGGGGGAGGTCGAGCTGGGAGAGGAAGGAGCCCTCCATGGCGCGGAGCTGGGGGGTGGGCAGGGCACAGAGCTCTCGCTGCAGGCGCTGGCTGCCCCCCACCAGGAAGCCCCCCAGCTCTGAAGCGTTGCAGACCACGGCCTTCA